TAATCTTTGACAAAGCGGAAAAGAGTGTCCAATGGGGAAAAAAAACAGCCTCTTTAACAGATGGTGCTGGGAGAACTGGACAGCAACATGCAGAAGAACGAAACTATAATACTTTCTCACACCATACACAAAAATACACTCAGAATGGATAAAGGACCTGAATATGAGACAGGAAACCATCAAAATCCTAGAGGAGAAGCAGTCAACAACCTCCTTGACCTCAACCGCAGCAATTTCTTACTTGACACATCACCAAAGGCAAGCGAATCAAGAGCAAAACTGAACTATTGGTACCTCATCAAGATAAAAAGCTTCTGCACGGCAAAGGAAACAATCCATAAAACTAATAGGCAACCGACAGAATAGGAAAAGGTAGTTGCAAATGACATATCAGATAAAGGGCTAGTATCCAAAATCTATAAGGAACTCACCAAACTCCACACCTGACAAATAAGCCAGTGAAGAAATGGGCAGAAGACACAAACAGACACATCTGGATGGCAAAGAGACCATCCAGATGGCCAACAGACACATAAATTATGCTCAGCATCCCTCATCATCAGGGAAATGCATATCAAAACCACACTGAGATACCACCTCACACCAGTCAGAGTGGCTAAAATCAACAAATCAAGAGACTATAGATGCTGGCGAGAATGTGGAGAAACAAGCACCCTTCTACACTATTGGTTGAGAATGTAAATGGGTACAGCCCCTCTGGAAAACAGTATGGAGGGTCCTCAAAATATTAACCCTAGAACTCCCCTATGACCCAGCAATAGCACTGCTAGGAATTTTCCCAAGAGATACAGGAGTGCTGATGCATAGGGGCACATGTACCCCAATGTTCATAGCAGCACTCTCAACAATAGCCAAAACACAGAAAGAGCCTAAGTGTCCATCAATGGATGAATGGATTAAGAAGATGTGGTTTATCTATATTATGGAATACTACATGGCAATGAGAAGGAAGGAATGAAATCTGGCCATGTGTAGCAACGTGGATGGAACTTGAGGGTGTTATGCTGAGTGAAATATGTCAGGCAGAGAAGGACAGAGACCATATGTTTTCACTTATAAGTGGATCAGGAGAATCTTAACAGAGGACCATGGGGGAGGAGAAGGGGAAAAATTAGTTGGTGAGAGAGAGGGAGGCAAACCATGAGAGACTACTGAGAACAAACTGAGGACTGATGGGGGTGGGGAAGAGGGGAAGGGGGGTGATGGGCATGGAGGAGCGTACTTGCTGGGATGAGCACTGGGTGTTACATGGAAACCACCTTGACAATAAACTATGAAAGAAAAAATAAATTAAAAATTTTGGTTTGGCCCAATATTTTGTTTTTATTTGTTCTTTGTGGTTTGATGTTTGAATTATTACAATATTTAAAATGTGAAGTATCACATAAAATCATGATATTAGGACGACAACACATGAATGACATATCAGGATGGCAACAAATGGGACTATTAGCAAGTAGAGTCCAATGTTCTGCAATCCCCAAACCCCCTATTGTGTCTCTACCATGAATCTGGGTATTGCTTGTCATTTATATCTTCAATTTGCCTATGTCCTCTTTAAATATATAAATTTTCAACTTCTTCAAGGTTTCCCTCCAGGGTTGCCTTGGTAGCTCAGTCAGTTAAGCCTCTGACTTTGGCTCAGATCATGATCTAGCCGTTTCTGAGTTTGAGCCCCATGTTGGGCTCCATGCTGACAGCTCAGAGCCTAGACCCTGCTTCAGATTCTGTGTCTCCCTCTCTCTCTGTCCCTCCCCAACTCTCACTCTGTCTGTCTGTCTGTCTGTCTGTCTCTCTCTCACACACACACACAAATAAAAAACATTAAAAAAAATTTTAAGGGGTACCTCGGTGGCTCATCAATTATGCATCCAAATTTGGCTTAGGTCATTATCTCATGGTTCACAAGTTTGAGCCCTGCATCACGCTCTCTGCTTACAACTCAGATCCTGGAGCCTTGTTCAGATTCTGTGTCTCCCTCTCTCCCTCTGCCCTTCTCCTGCTTGTTTTCTTCCTCTCTCTCTGTGTCTCAAAAATAAATAAAACAAAAAAAATGTTTAAATTGTTAAATAATAAAAAAAAATAAAGGTTTCCCTCTACACGTGGACCTTTTGGAATATGAAATATTAAAAGACTTCACAAAGGAAATGGGTATTATGTCATTGGCTACACCTCCCAAAAAATAACCTATTAGAATTAGAAATCAAGGTTGTGATGGAGTCCAGCAGAGAAAACGAAACTTGAATTATATATGGGTCAATTTAAAGAAAAAAATTATTAGGCTTCTTTTACTAGTTTATTAAAATTGATAGTATTATTATTAATTATCTTAGTGAAAATGCATATTGCAAATTTGATGTTTTGGTGACGAAAAGATTATAAATATAAAAATTAACAATGATTTTTAAGGTCTAAAATGTTAACATTGGAGAATATTTAGGAACCAAAACAGAGGGTATTTTCTGACATTTCATGCTAAAACTAAATTTTGGGTCATACCTTGAATGTAGGCCATTTACCTGCACTGAAAGAATTGTGATTTTCTAATCACTGTTCTCTACAAGCTTGAACTGATACGTAAATGCGTAGAATAATTGGCTACTGCCTTGTTGAATTTGGTCACTGGCACATCTTAAGAACTGTTGTGGTTGTTGAAGTCATACCATTTAGTCATACTATGCTTATGCTTATTTATTTCTTCTTAAATATTTTATTTATTTATTTTGAGAGAGAGAGCACACACACACGAGCTGGGGAAGGGCAGAAGAGAGGGAAAGAGAGAATCCCAAGCAGGCTCTGTGCTATCAGCGTAGAGCTCTACATGGAGCTCAGTCTCACAAACCGTGAGATCATAACCTGAGCTGAAATCAAGAGTTGAACACTTAACTGCCTGAGCCAGCCCGGGGCCTCAATGCTTGATTTACTTTAAATAAACTACTGAAGAAAATTCAACTACTTTGTACTTAATCCAATTTTGTGCCTTCATGATTTGAATTGTGCAAAGTCACTTTCAATTCAAACTTTTTCTGCAATGTCCCTTTTACCATCTCAAGAGCTTTCCCAGAATAAATCTTCCCTTTCCAGGCAAGGCTTGGAGAACATGTGCAATGCTTTTGTGACATATGGGCCTGTCTACAGTAATTAATTCCTAGTTTGTCTGACCTAATTGCTCCATGTTGGCAACTCTTGTTATTTTATTAAAGGCAACATTGTTAAATAGGAGCAGAATATTGCCAAAATAGTGATTTATTTTTTCAAAGCTGCACACATTTTATATTTCCTCTATGTTATCAATTATTAAATTCTTTATGTTCACTAAAGGCTTCCTGTGATCTCAAGTGCTATTACATACTTTAATTTATCTTTTAATTATATTGATGATTAGTTGTGTTCTCAGTCTATTGTGGAGGCAGAAACTATGTTTAATTTTCTTTTCCCATGCTAGAATATATATACTCTATCTTTACTCTTTATAGGAAAGTAGAAAACCCAAGCATTTCCTCTTTTATGTAAAGTAGATGTGTTCCCCTGGGCTTGGATGATGAGGAAGGGCATTTTGTCCACCTTGAACTCCCTACTTCAAGTTGGTAGTTGCATCTCAGACCCATCTGGGCTTTTTTCTCTATGCACCTACATCTCCAACTAGTCGAAACTCCACAACAGTGACTTATGGTAAAACTTGGTTTGAGATACAGTAAGGAATTTACAAAACCTCGCAGTTGTTGCTGTCACAGTTTGCAACGGAGGGGAAAAAATCCCTGAAAGAATAAATTTTGTTTATCATTCTCTAGGTTTGGGAAATCTTTTAAAGCCAATTCTTTAAGTCTCATGTGTTATGTTATAGGATGCCCTAATTCTATATGCTTAATTCTAATGCTGTCCCTAATGTATCAAAATATGTTGGTTATTTATTTATAAATAGTAAAATAGTTATAAATTCACATTGTTTTCACTTCTGAATTCTAATATACTAAGCTTTTTAAAAATCCTATGGAATTTGTATAGCCTCCAGAACAACTTTTCATGTAAAACAGTTAATTACTCTATACAGGACCTCTCAGTTTACAAATCATCATCACCACCATCATCGTCACCATCATCATCATCATCATCTCCGCAAAAAAACAGGTGGAGCAGTGGGAATATAAAATATAGTAGTCTCTCCTCTCTACCTCCATCCTCCCCCAGCATCCTAAAGCTGGCAGAGAAAAATAGTTTTAAAACATTTTCACTTAAATTTGAATATTCTGTAAGTCTTGATGCCATTTGAACTTCTCACCCCTTGAAAGCAATAGGACCTGATACTTCAGTGAAAAGGCAAATAAGTGCTAGAACAAAGTAGAATATCTCAGTCTTCATTGTCTGACTTGATTTTGTAGCAAGACAATGTAGACTCTATAAGCAGGCTTTGTTAAGGGATGGAGGGTGGGGGATTCTAAATCCTTTTAGCCTGGAGGATTTCAATCATAATTTTAAGCATGGGAAAAATGCACTTCCACTTAGGTTGTAATGTGTCTCCCATGGGGATTGAAGGACAGAAACTACAGGAAGGGAAAGCACGAAAGCCTGTGTGTGGCCAGGCTCTCCCGTCCTGAAATATAAGGAGGAGGGAGGGGAGAAGAAAAACAAAGGGAAAACAAGTATGTCAGCTACCCGTATATTTGTTCCTGGCACCCCCACTTTACTCTCTCATCCCCTCTAAAGAGAGAGGCCTTTAGAAACATCCAGATGGCTATGCTAGAATAGGACTTAGAGGCATATGTGTGGGGGGTGGGGAGGGGTGTCTGTGTTTGGGAAGGAGGAAGAGCCGACTGAAAGCTCCCAGCAGAAGCCTGCATGAGGCCACTGTCAGGCTATTATGGGTGATTGTACAGTACCATCTATGTAAGGAGGACGAGACAAGGGAAGCACGCAGTTAGACAGTTACTCAGGAGAGGAGATATTTTTACAAGGATAAATGTCAAGGTCATGAGGCCCACCTTAAGATCTAGGACTTTGGGAGGTCATTTCCAAGACTCTCCAGGCACTAGCTTCTGAGGCTCGTCCACAGTGAAGTAACAGCAGCTGAACATTAAGAAGAGGAATAGCCAGAGTTCAGTTTCTCCTGTCCATTTACTTTGCTGGTGATGAGGCCAGGTCTCAAACATGGGCAGACACAGGAGCGAGCTCAATCTGTTCAACTAAGCTTCATACATGGTGCTGTGAGGGGCCACAACGGGCGAGAGCTGTAGCGGCTGCTGCAGAGACGGAGACGACGCAGGTGGTGTCACCAGAGACGGGCTGTCCTTACTCCGCTCTGCCCCAGAACCGGCGCTTGACAAAGACCGCGTGAGAGAAAAAATAGTCTCACTTGGACTGGGAGCCCGGGATGCCGCAGTCCCACAGGGGCTGGAGCGGAGTCCCCACCTTCACCGCCAGGTGGCAGCCGACTTGGGAGGTAGAGCTGTGGCTGCGCGGTCCCCAGAGAACTGATACTTGGGGGACTGGCGTGACTGGTGAGGCTTGGGGAGCTCTGGTGACTGGAAGGTTCGGTTGGCCTCAGGAGAGCCATGAGGTTGGCTTGCCCCGGGCTAGTACCGAGCTTCGATGCTGCATGAGTTTGAGGTCCTTCTCATCTTCTCACTAGCGTCGTCAATACCTCCTGTCTTTGTCACAATCCACGTGCGGGTTTTGTCCAACAGGGAAACCCTGGCGTTGCTGGCGAAGTGGGGGGGAGGGGAGGCCCAGGCGGGGCGTTCCATCCGGGACTCTGGGCGCCGGCAAGTGGCCCGGCTTGAGAGGCGTGCCTGGAGCCGGACAGCCCGGAGGCTAAGCCCAGGGCCTCCTTCACAGCCGCTGGTCGTCGGTTGCACGTCCGGCACAGCGCACACCAGCGGGCAGGCGGGACCGCTCCGCTCCTGGGAAGCCCCTGCCGTCGTGCAGCGTTCGCCGCACACTCTTGAGTGCAGCCCCCTTACCACGCAGACCCTGCAGGCTCCCGGTGCGCACCTCTTCTGAGTAGGGCAGGCTCCGTGGCCCAGCAGGGGGCGCTGATGTCTGGTTCCGAGACTAGCAAGGGAGAGGATCTGAGAGTGCATAGCTGTAAGTGTTTTCATTTATTTACATTTATATACATTTATATACAGACATATATATATTAAAACTTTTTGGGCAGCAGTCGGAATGCAGACATGCATACCTAAATATAGTGTGTGTGAGGTTGACACAATGTTGCATTAGGTGTACAACATAGCGATTCAACAAGTTTATATATTATACTATGTTCACCTCAATTGTAGCTGCATTTATATGTTCAAAAGCTTCCAAGTGTTGCTTCATGCTGTCTCATGCCCGGTCATAAGGTCATACGTCCCTGGAAGTTACTGAAGCATTCATAGCCTGCCGGTGGGAATTTAAATTGGCACAATCTCTTTGGAAAACAGTTTGTAATAGTTACTGAAGTTGAAAATTTGTGTGGCCCTCTCCCAAGAATTTAACTTCCGGTTATTTAACCTTTAGACGCTCGTGCAAAAAGTGTACCAGATTATAATTCAAGGAATATTTCTAGCAATGTTGTTTATAATCAACACTGGAAAAACATTGCCCATCAAAAGTTAAAGTTAAGTTTGATATGTTCACATGACAGAATATACTACAGTACTGTAAAGTTGTGTTCATACAATTGGATACAATTCAGTGAAAAAGAAAAACAAACTAGAGCTATGTACTTTGTATGGATTAATTTTGCAAATATAAATTAAGTGCAAAACACAAGACATGTTTCTTTACAACATGATTTATTTGTGTAAACTGTAAAGGAAAAAAATCTAAACTGTAAATTTTATCATTTAGGTATGTGTATTTTGGTGCTATAGCTGTACAGGAAAACAATAAATACATGAACTGCACAATTTCATGATAGAGGTTACTTCTGAGAGAAGTAGAGGGTCGTTTGTAGGAGGTAGCATAGAGGCCTCAAGGGTGTTAAGATGATCTTTATTTTAAGTTTATTTACTTATTTTGAGAGACAGAGAGAGAGCACAAGTAGGGAAGAGGAAAAGGAGAATCCCAAGCAGGCTCTGCACTGTTGGGCTCACTGATGCCGGGCTCCAATTCATGAACGATGAGATCATGCTCTGACCATAAACCAAGAGTCAGATACTTACCCAACTGAGCCACCAGGTGCCCCCCAATTTAATTTTTCGACCTGGATGAAAAAACAATGGTTACATTGCTGTTCGTTTTACAACCACTCCTAACACAATTTATTTGTGTTTTATACACATTTCTTTAAATTGTTACAGTTAAAAATAAAAAACAAAAATCAGTTTTAAGAGCTGGGGAGTTTTTCAGAGATGGGTCCCCACATAATGGCCAAAGTCTTCTTATAGCAAAGGAGTCATGGTGGACTGAGTGCCAGGGCTGCCAAGCCTGGTTGTCATAGCCCTATGTCACGACACTCCCAATCAGCAGGAAGAACTAGATGCGACCAGATTTACCAAAGAGGTCTGTCAGGCCTTGTCATGACAAGGAAAAAAAAAAGACCATAAGCTGTACAGTCCTCAGAGATGCCAGCCACGTGTCCCTGGAAATTCAGTGAGTAGCCAGACCAGCCACACCTCAGCAAAATCCAAAGATTATGCAGAGGACAACCAGTCTGTGTATAGTTACTAGCTCCCTTTATGAATCTACTACCCTACAAAACACTTAGATTTTACCTTGGAAAGATGTGGAATAGAGCTCTGAGTACTTTTATTTTAAGAAATTTAAGCATTTACCTAACAGTAAAGTTTAAATTATTACATCCACAATGCTTACCCAACCGGACTAAAATTTAGATGTTTTTGTAAAACCTCTAAAAAAGTATAGAATTGTAAGGATATTTGTATCAGTAATATACAAAATAAACTACACTTTCTTTATATATATATATTTCTTTATATATATAAAGAGGAGTTATATATATATAAGTATATATATATACATATGTATATGTGTATATATATATATATATATTTTTTTTGCTTGTTTGAGAAATCTTGAGCCAGGGAGGGGCAGAGGGAGAGGGAGAAATTTTTTAAATGTTTATCTCTTTATTTTGAGTGAGAGAGAGAGAGAGAGAGAGGACGAGGCCAGGAGAAGCAGAGAGAGAGAGAGAGAGAGAGAGAGAATCCCAAGCAGGCTCTACACTGCCAGCAGCGTGAGACTTGATCCCATGAACCACGAGATCACAGCCCGGGCCAAAAGTAAGAGTTGTACAATTAACTGACTGAGCCACTCAGGAGCCCCAGGTGAAAGAAAATCTTAAGCTGGCTTCATGCCCAGTATAGAGCCTAATGCAGAGCCCAATGTGGAGCCCAACTCAGTGCTCCATCTCAGGACTATGATGAGATCATAACTTGAGCCAAAATCAAGAGACTGACACCTAACCCACTGAGCACCCAGGCTCCCCAATATGTATATGTATTTGTGAATGAAAATAGTGAGGAAAGAGGCAATCTTCATTGATTTTAAGTATTTCATTGGAACAAATTTGGAGTCCAATTTACCCTGCTAATTAATTGCGACTGCAGATAATTCTCTCACCTACTTTGATTTTCAAGGTTTACAGATCCTAAATTTGTTGTGAGAAAAAAGGAGGTTTCTCTTTGTGTATATATATATATATATATATATATATATATATATACACACACACACACACACCTTTCTTTTAGCTATGGCTTACATGGGAAACTAGACCATTATAGTTAACACTTTAAATAGAAAACATAAAAAATGAATATGGATGTTTATGGTTAATTAAAGCATCAGTATCCCTTAAAAATATCATTCAAATTATGAAGTAAAATAATGAAGCAACTTAAGGTGCTTATGAATCTTTGAAGAAAAAACTGCTTTAATGATTTTAAAAAGTAACTCCATTCTTTGTATGACATCCTCTTTTTCTGTTTAACTCAATATTATTTATTAGAATGTTATTAAAAGTGGCAAATAGTATTCTTAACTAGAAGATTTTCATGACACACCTACTTACACAATGTAACTATAAAATAATGTGTGTGGCTCATATCACAACTCCTCTAAAACAAAGATCCCACTTAGTATGGCTTTATACTTTCCACCCATATAAGATTTTCATCAATATTTGAATGAATTAATGAATGAACAAATAATATGAAATCTCGCACATTTTGGAGTTTATAGTTCAGAATAATACAGTAATGAATTTTAAGAATTTTTTTAGGGGCACCTGGTGGTTTAGTTAAGCTCTTTGCTCTTAGCTCTCTGCTCTCTGCAGATCCTCTGTCTCCCTATCTATGCCCTCCACCCATCTTTCTCTCCCCTAAAATAAACATTTTAAAAAATTAAAAGAATATTTTAATCCAAATGTAATGGTTTTAATATTTTTATATTTGTTTGCATTTATACCCAGATGCATTTAGAATTTCCTAATAATCCACCTATAAATATAGCAGTCTAAATTCTGTTACAATCAATGATTAAAAACTTTTATTTTCCTTTCTAGTGCTGAATCTTATTATAAAATTTTATCCAAGGGCTTCAGACAAATTGTTTTACTTCCTCAGACTTAATATGAAGCATATAGATATGATGATGTCAATACTTAAATAGTTTCGAATGAGCTGACCATCTTGTCAATTGCTCATGTGAATGAGGACATAAACTTTGATGTAAGACTTTCTAGAGAAGAGGATGGATAGAGAGGCTAAAAATAGGAATGTGGGTAGGAGTGCAAAATTCTAGTTGGTAATCAATGGAAAGAGAAAGCTAAAGTAAGTGGCCACAGGCTCTTTAATCTCTGGGGAGACACAAAAATACTGTTTGTTGATGTGAGGAGAGGGTCCAAGTATTGAATTTGAATGAAAGTAGCAGAAGGGACCAAGTAGGCAGATCTGATGCAGAGGGGTGAAGATGCAAATATCGAACAGGATTTCTGATTCTGTCCCTGATTACATTTCCTAAGAAGTTTGAAGGGACAAGAGCTCAGTACCAGCAATCAGGCTGAGGCAGATTCTGCAGTTACCATAAAGACTAATAATGGGAGAGTCTTCCAGATGCTCTTCTCTCTGCAGAGCCTGCTTCAGATCCTGTCTCCCTCTCTCTGCCCCTTCCCCATCTCTCTCTCTCAAATAAATAAACATTAAAAAAAATTAAAACCGTGTGCAGCAAAAGCAAGGTTTCCAGGTTTCAATATTATTTGTTATATTAGACTTAAAAACCATTATGTTTATCCATAAGTTCACTAGTTAGCTTCAAAAGTACATCAGTACCAACACAAAACCTCAAGGTGATTGTAGTATCATTAAGTCTTAAACTAGCTTAATAATTTTTGGCTTAGTTTCCCTGCAAATCTGAGAGGTATTGATTCTCTATAACTCTACACATTCCGAATCATTTTTAAATGACATGAAGAGGCATATATTGTGTCAGCATTTCTCTAGACAAAGGAAATGGAAATCAGGGTTGCCATATTAGGGTGGAGAATTAAAAAAAAGCTATTTTTCACAAATATCAGGTTATTGAAGAATTTTAAGTTATATACTTTATCAGTATGGTGAATATAACTGCCGTACTTCTTTTTATGTTAACACTGTGACTCT